CCGATTTCTTTAAAACTTATAAGTTTTGTTTAAATTATTATAATTTTTGTACCTTTAAAAAAAAAAAAATTATAGTCAATGCAAATCAGGTAAGTTAAGCATTTAGAATACATAAAGTGTCAAAGATTATGAATTAAGATTGTGAATGTTTTAAAAAAACACAACAAATGTTAAACTTTAATTTAAAAAAATTAATGTTATACATAGAGTTAATTATATTAATTTATATTATGTATATCATTATCCAATACATTTGAAATAATTGTCATAAATAACTAAAATTATTTTCTAAATAGAAAAGTGAATATGTACTGTACTGTACCTAATAGTTAAGAAAGTCAACCAATATATTTTGAAAATTATCACTGAACAATTGTATTAGAAAACTGTTGTATTTTAATTGATTTATTTTGTTAAGTCGCTTTCAGTTCCATTCAAGTTCGCTTCTTCAATTTAAGAAGCAAAAATTCCTGTGAGAAAGCCATGTAATTTGCAATGAAAACAAGATGTTTCTAAAAAATTTGAGTTATACAGTACTAAATATCCATATTCACACTAAATAAAGACAATTTTAAAATGAAATTGTCTTTATTTAGGGTGAATATGGATATTTATTTAAGTAGGATCAACAGTAATAGTAACATACAACCTATTGCCATTACTGTTAAATTTATTGAAGACAATTTGATTATATAATTTTGCTGATAGTATTTTCATAGTTACACACAGTCTAAATCATCACTTAGATGAAGATAATCATTTATTGATTTTGTTTAATTTTGGTTTAAAAAACTTATCAACAAAAATATAATATTGTTAGCAATAAAGGATTTACTCATTTTAACCATTTTATAAGTTTTCCTTATTTTGTAAGATTTCAGTAAAAAATAAATTTGATGCAATTACAATAATAAGTATTATAAATTCTTATCAAAGATTGTTCTTAAATGTCTTTATAATTGTTAATATTAGTACATTGAATTTACCAAACAGAGTATTTAGGATAAATTTTTTCATGTTTATAGTTACTTTAGAAAAACCAAACAAAATGACATTCAAAAACAAATTTTTTTAAAAATTTATCTGTGTAATTTCTTTTTCACAATAATATTGAAAAGTGTGCATTTTAATAAACATTCTTGCTTTTGGAAATAATGTTTTATTATATAAAAAATGAAGTTGCTACTAACATTTACATTGTAACTAAGTTTCATTAGTTAGTTACTGACAATTAGATAGGAAATTAATCAGACAGGACTTGTCAACTAATTTTATAACAAATTAAAACTGTAAGATATTTCAGTTATATTTAAATAAAACTATAACATATCTAAAGTCTGAATTACACAAAACCCACTTATATATGCAGCATACCTCTTTTTTATATATGATTGTCTGTTGGTCCCAAGTAATAAGCCATTAGAGTGTATTTTTAATATTCATTTACACATACATGAATTATATTTAATCATCATATGTGAATATGAAAATTAGATGCAAAAAATCCAAACATACATTTGAATTTTGGTTTTCTATTTGAATCTATAAAAATTACTCTACCACTATATAATTTAGTTAGCATATAACTTGCTATATGCTAAATGTAAATCTATAAACTTTCATATAATAAAACACAAGCATAAAAGCTGGTTACAGCCTTTTCAGAAAGCCTCAGATTTTAAGGAAATGTGATATTTTTTTTTTTTCAATTGAACACCTGACTTCACAGACACATTTTGGGTCATGCTGAGTATAAATAGAGAGTTTTCAGAGGTCTTACACAGCCATATTTTGGCTAAAATTTCAGGACAGGTCTTTTCAAACCAAAGTATGGCATAACATCATTTTTGATAATATTTGGAGGATTTTATAGCCTTTACACCATGTTTTAAAATTGTCAGTTTTTCTTTTTTATAATTTTGTCCACTGTTGTCATGTCACAACACTAACTAGGGACCAAGTTGATCTCTAGTTAGTGTCATGACATGGCAATGGTTATGTCTCCCTTTTGAAAATGTAAACCAAAAACAATAGAAGTTTTAACATGTGTTTTCAAAAGAGAGACATGTAAGGATCAAACCTTTACTTCCACTTTTGGAAAATTTCAATTTGTTTTAAATTTTGTAATCTTCAATCAAATACTTTAAAAATAATCCAACAGATTACTGTGAGAAAGATAATTAAACAATGTTTTAGAAAAGAGAATCTTAAGGAAAAGTTCATATTGAATTGCAATTATTAAATAGAACCATTTTTCTAAGGTACACGATTTTCTTTCAATATTCTCGCAGCTCCATTTTCCAATAGTGACCAAAACCTCATGATCTTGGGCAATTTTTGCTGAAAGAACAACTGGGCTTCAGTGTGCTATGTTACTTCTGGCATCTTTCAGAAATCTATATCTGTGAAACCATGGCTCATAGACCAGTTGTTCTTTGGTAAAAGTTGTTCATAAACATGAGATCTTGGTCACAATCAGAAAATGGGGGCTGGGTGATCATACTGAAATAATGAAATATTACCAAATGAAATTAAATGATGGGATACTACCAAATTTTTGTATATAAACAAATACACAATTTGTGTATTAATGATTATTATTTTATGTGCAGATTCAAAGTACTCTTTAACATTAAGATAAGAAGGAAGTTTCTCTGAAGTGAAGCCACAAAACAGCTCCAAAGTCCAGGAATTAGCAAAAGTACTTGGATAAAGTGTTTTCAGCACAGATGGACTGATTTTATTCTGCAAATTATGAGACAAAGATGTCAGCTCAAAAATGATTTCACATACAGCAACACTGCAATACCATGAATCAAACAGCTTGTGAAAAAAAGAATCACTGCCTCGAGTTGCAGCAAAGCTTAGTTGTCAGTGACAGTGGTATAATATCTAATTTAAGAAAAATTTCAACTTCAACCAGGAATTATGCAATATGATGGTTTCTGATGACATACATGCTGCAAAATGAACAGCAAAGGTGTTTCTTGAGATGTACTCCTGCACTCGATATCTGAAGAATCAACTCTAAGGAAACATTATGTCTCCAACTATTGTGAGGAAATGAGTAAAAGAATTAGAGATGCAGTTGGTGGCAATAAGGTATGGGTTACACTGGACAAAACAACCAATCAGGAAAACATTACATTGTTAATGTTACTGTTGGCATATTACAAGATGATGAACCTGGTGAGAAACTCCAGATTTCTTGTCACTTTCTNGAATTTTAATACGTTTCTTTCACAATAGTCTCTAAATTAAGAGTTTATAAATAATTCGTGATAACTTACACATTAATATTTATCAACTGTCTGATTATGCAATATTTTCCATTTTGTACATAGAGATCGGCTGTAATAGAAAAAATGTTTTGTAGTCCACAAACGTAAAGAACGAAGTTCAAAAGATATTGATATTGAGATTCATAATCTGTTTCAAACATGAGCAAATGCTGCTCTTTTTGAGTTACATGCGGCTCTTGCTGAAAGTGTTAATTTCTGATTTTTATTAATATTTTTACAATTTTATTTCCAGAATTTTGTGAAGATATGTTTTTAAAAAAAATTATTTCTTGGCAGTATTTCAAGTTCAGGTAAAGATTCCAATTGTAATTGTAATTTTTTTGTGACCAAGCAGTTATTGAACTGCAACTTTTTAAGAATATTTAAACAAGGCAACTCATTTATGTCTCATTATAAGACTAGTCTTTTAATGTTGTTGAATCTTTTCTTTTTTCTATTGTTCTTACTGCTTAGCTGAAATTTCATTCAATTAATCTCTCCAATGATTTCAACACATTCTATCTCTGCTTTCTTGGGGATCAAAAACAAAAAAATAGGGTTTAAGTGAAATATTTTTTGTTTTTGATCTGTGAGAAAACAGACAGAAAAGTTAGAGTTTTATCTGCTTTGAAGTTTTATTGTGTTAAAGTTCCTCAAATAGATGGAAATATTACATGTACTGTACTTTCCCAAAAAGTTATACTGGATATATTAGAAAATAATCAAAAACATAAAGTAATTCAATAAAAATTTCAAGTTTCAATTCATAATTAATATAAGTTTCCATTAAATATATATTAACCATATAATGTTTTGTATGTAAAGACAAAAATAACTTTCGGAAATTCTATTTTTGCTTATTACTTTGTTTGATATACAAGGTGTATCAGAATGATGTTTTAAAAATTTGGGGGATTGTAGAGGATGAAATTTTGAACGTTTTGATATAAGGAAATGTGATATAAAGTTTTTACAGTACTTGGCACTTTGTAGTCAGTATGCTGAATGAAACAGCAGAATACAGTATTTATGACAAGTTTTATTGACAAAACAATAGAGTACAATCAAACTGTACATCAAATCAGTGGCTGCACTACTTTAGAGTAAATGTTCAATGTGATGACCACCAACTTTGTTACATAGTGTGCAACAACGAACCATGTTTTGTCTGACTCTCTGTAACATGCCACGCTCTCCTCTGATGGTATTAAATTCTGTAAAGATGCGCTCTATAAGCTCATGAACTGTTCCTACAGGTGTTGCATACACAAGGGACTTTACATAACCTCAGACGAAGTCAAGAACAATAACATGGTGTCAATGAACGGAAGTGTAGCTACCAAAGTGAAGGGTGGTCAAGCACTTCCTACCGCTGTAGAAACTTTATATCACATTTCCGGTATGGGTTCCTTATATCAAAATGTTCAAAATTTCATCCTCTACAATCCCCCAAATTTTTAAAACGTCATTCTGATACACCCTCTATATGGATAGGGCTTATAGATATTTGATCAGATTCTGAATTGAACCTGTAGAATTTAAAGAATAGCACAAATTTATGTTGTTGTTGGGCTACAATTTGAAAAAATTATAACCTATAAATTCCCACTCTCTGTTCTTAATCTTGAGAATGAAGTTAGATAGATGAAATCTGAGACTAGATATGGAAGCCTTAGGGGCATGAGGTCCCAATTAACTATATATCAACCTCTGATGAAAACTGAAAGTCACATTATTTCAATTCAAAACTTTTTCCCTAAAAGCAGTTAATAGATGACCTGCACAACTTTATTGCTAACAGGAAAAGTATGGTGTACAGGGGCAAGGCACATCTAATTTGAGGTGGGGAACATATATTTTAAATTAAATAAATTAAAAATATGATAAAAAATTGCTCATTTTAATGGGATTCCAAATTATAGTGTTCTTTTTGTCCTATGATATCTTTAATGAAACAAAATGTACTCTTTGCTGACAGCTGCATTTATATATGTATATATATACAAACTACTTGAGAATCAAGCACTTACAAAGCAGTACAGCACTACAGGAAAACCAAACTTACACAACCCTTCAAATTTTTGGGGGTATATTGCAGGCCCTCTTTATCTCATTTTAATTTAACAAAATATGGAATGTATTAATCTTGACCTGCTCTACAGCTTTACAAATGGAACTGTAGTTTTATCTGTAATAGGAGCTGAGATAATTTTATACCCTTTTTTGGGGGGGTAGGAGAAATGCACCAATGAATAGCCCATTGTTGATAATATATAAAAGCAAACATCACTTATGTGAATCTGTATATCGTTTACATGAATAATTTAAACCCTGGCATGACATTTACATATATACATTTAATATTTTTACATGAACATTAAGTTACTAGGAATTATAAATTTTTGGAAGGATTTAAAGATCTATGAACTAAAGAAACAATTCCTTATCAGCATTATTACAAATAAGATTATATTTAAAATTCTAAAATTAAATGAAATCTGAAAACAATTGTTAGTAAGAATTTCAGTTTTTAACATCGTGAAAACTAATTTTCAATATTATTGAAATATTAAATATTTAAAACTTTACAAAAAAAAATCAAAATAATAATTAAATTAAAAACACCTAAATTCATTAAATTCAAATTTAGGTGTTTTTGGAGTTTATTTGGACAGTATATTTGGAGTTTAGAGTATTTAAATGCTAATTTATATATATATTTGAAAATCAAGACTGGTCTGGCTCAAATTACTCTGTATTTTTAATGGTTCACTGTGTTAATATTTTTTCTGTCATTTAGAAATATGGTTTTGCTAAATTAATTTTATGTATTTTTGAAGTTTTGTAAAATAAACTTATATTTATATGATTCTGTCTATTAATTACATGTACAGTTTAAGAAGCATGTAAAAAATACATTATTGTATATGATTGGGAGGGAAGGTAATTTATTATATACAGGGACCTTTTTTATTTGTACAGGTATACCTCACCTTACGTCGGTAATTGGTTCCAGGAGAGGCGATGTAAGTCGAAAAACGACGTAAATCGAATTTACTTGTCTCCAAATCTATATGTCACTAGGCCAGGGATGGCGAACTTTTTTACGTTCGCGTGCCATATTGTAAGCATACTTAGCTTTAAAGATGTTTATGCGTGCCAAAGTTTCAGACTTCGAATAACGATATTTAAAGAAATTAAACGAATACGCTTTAATTAGAATAAATGTAAAAAAGCTGATTGAAAAAAAGGATGATCAGGTGATAAACCGAAAAGATGATTGAAAAAGACAGAAATCGTATGATACATTACGTGCAGATGATTTCTCCTTACGTGCCACAGGTTCGCCACCCCTGCACTAGGCTAAACCATAAATTATCATTCCCGGTTCTGTATTTTATTTATTAATGCATTTTTAATAATATATGGTTAATATAAGGATCTATTTTAAGCTTACAAACAAAAAATTTTTAGTTTTTAATATAGTACAGAAAAAAGTAATCTAAATTTACGAATGCATGTACTGTAAATATAGTACATACTTGTAAATTTATATATTTTAATATGATTTTATGTGCTTTAAATGCTTTTCTAGTGATGTTACGACTACAATATTTGTGGCGGATAGACGTAAAGTTGAATAAAAGGACTTAAACTTGATTTTTATTTTTCCATATACTTTTTTGACAAACGATGTATAATCGGGAACAACGTAAGTCGAGGTATATCTGTATTAGGAATGTATTAATCTGTTCTTATAAACCTACTTATTAGTTGTGTGAATAAAGTTTCAGTTAGAAAGTATTTGCAGAAGTTTTTTTAAATCATTTCTTCAATGTCAGACGGTGCATGAATTTTGTACACATAATTAAAGGGGAAGAGGTTTGCCAAAAGTATATCATTGTACAAAAAGAGGGAGTGTGTCAAAAACTATACATGTAATTAATGGACGACTCTATAACTTCCATATGGAAATTATTTAAAGATTATTATGGTTTCATATTTACACTTTAATATAAAATTAAAATTAATTTAATTATTTAAAAAATTTATTAATTATTATTAAAATTATTAAACAAAAAGTTTAAAAAATTTTTAATTAACAGTTTCTGTCAACTCGCATTAATATCTATCAGAACGTAAATATTTGTAAATTAAGTAATGGAAATATTGTTCCACCTTTACAAAAATATGGAAATATTAAAGAAGATTCTACTGTTCCACAAGGGAAAATTTATGAATTGAGAACCTACACGCTCTATCCAAAAAATACTAAAGAATTTGTAAAAATGACTGAAGAATTAATGCATTTAAGAACAAGCCATTCAAAATTAGCAGGCTTTTGGACATCAGAATTAGGTGGTATGAATGAAGTGGTTCATATTTGGGAATATGGTAAGTTTATAATATACATATATTGAAAAATTGAAAATAAAATGAGTAAATTTAAAAGATAATATATATGTTATCTAATACTGAAATCAGTTGTCTCCAAAAATATTTTTAAGAATCTTTTGGGTTACATTTCAGGCTATATAAATTGTAGTTTGTATTATGGCAAAGTTTTGAAATTTGAGAGACTATAATTTGTCTAAAAAAACTTTTTTGCTTGGCTTAGTAAACCGGTTTATCAACCTATTATCATCCCAAAGAATTCGACAGATACTAAGCACGTTAAATATGCGGCGTTTAGAGTGTGAATTAAAAGAGCGTACACCCACTGCACGAGTTTATATGATACATATAAGGAAGGGAAACAAAGTTTGAACTCCAACTCTAGTCCACTGTGGTGAGGGATGAAGGTGAGCAAGGAAATCAAATTGTTCCATCAGTCCTTCTCTGAGAGATGGTCGACCCCAGGAACTGTTGGGTCTTCTTGTGGGAGATACGACCACATAGAGATGCTCAGTCACTTTTGGAAGAAAATAATGGATTTCTTTTGGGCTTGTAAGCCAGATGTGAAGGACCTTGAGAACATGGATTTTTATAAAATTCTTCCCAAAATTCAGACTCAGATTGGTTGTAGTCTGCCTCTTCTCCCTTTCCAATTGGGCCCAGTCCTGTTGCTAGGGTCTAAATTTGACCTCTGATAAGGATCCAACTCTCTCCAAAGGGTTCAGTTACACTTTCTCAAGCAATAGGCTGTAAATTAGAGAAAATGGTGTTTCTCTTTCCCTTTTGGGGAGGATGCAGCTGTGTCCACAAGATTCTGAGCTACACCTTCCCCCAAGAAAGTATTTTCTTTTTCATTTCTGACCAGATATTATGTAAAAAGCAAAGTTTTATATCAATGTCACTTTCCTTTCCTTATGTAAACATCAAACAGGAAATGTGACAAAGAAGTTTTATAGCACCAAATTTCTTCATCTCCACAAGTGTCAAATGAGAAGTATAACATTCGAATCTAAGCATTAGTTTGATCATATTCCCTACATCATTGAATGTGACTGGACCTCACAGTGACATAGATGACATAGATAGAAGAAATGAGTAATGAAAAAGTTAATGCAATTGACTTTACAAACAGCAAATTAGAAACAATTTAAAAAAGTCCTTAAACAACCAACTTCAAACATTAAAATCAATCTCAAAACCCTTGAGTTTGATCAATGAAACCATTTACAATTTTACAGAGGTATTTACAATGGAAAACTTTTCTAGCTTTTAGAAGAGTGAATAAATTGTGAACATGCATTTTGATAGAATGATTTTCAATCCTTATTTCATCTTTGTTGGACCATTTTATTGGTTGGCATTGTCTTTTTTGAGAATTTTTTTGCCATTTTTTAAATTGCAAAACAACTCTGGACACTCTTGGAAAATTTTCATAATTAGCAAATGTTGCTTGAAGGAACTTTATGATAAACTGTTGGCTTTTGCCATAGAACCCTGTATTAACAAAACAAATTTGGGAAAAGTGATTCCTTTGTGACATTTAAGAAATCTGTGAAAGCTGGTATAGCATGAAAAGCTATAGATTATGAATAATCTTTATGAATGAAAAAGAAGTTTAAAAGTAACATGATTAATAGTTGATAAAATCAGTTGGTACAAATAAATTTACTAGAATAAAAAAGGAGCTGATTAACAGACTAGATAAATTTAAACTCTTCTCTAACTGCACTTACAAACAACCAAACCTTAAAAACCTTTAATATGCAGTCTTTTTATTAAATCTTCTAAGGTTTTCCTGTTAGAAGATTTAATAAAAAGACTGCATATTAAAGGTTTTTAAGGCTTTGATAAATTTGAAGAAATTTATTTAAAGTCTGTTAAACGGCTTTTTTATCTGAAGTTATTTGAAGAAAAAAGGTGTCACAATTTCAAAACCTTAAAGATTCAGATATTGTGTAAAGTACATCTTCATAAAATTATTGAGTTACACGAAAGTTTGTTTATGTTTGTATTTTTATTTATTAAGTGATGACTAATTTACAATGTTTTAAAATATTTTTTTCTGGAAAATTGTATTTTGATTTCCATCATTTCATATTGCATCATGCTTTATAAGAACATAATGTTGATACAAAGTCTGGGTGTATTAATTCCGTTCTAAAAAATGTCATGAAATTAACTTAATTATGCAAGTAATGTTCTCTATTGTTCTCTTAAGATATATTTCGGGATGGAGATAGTTGTTTTCAGAATTAGACAACTTATATTGAAACAGTTATTGAAATAAATTAATTTTCTTTTGTTATGTAGATAATTACGCTCATCGTACAAAAGTGAGAAAAGCACTAGCTGAAGATGAGAAATGGCAAAATGAATTTATAAAGAAAGCTGCTCCAATGTGGATGGATCAAAAAAATTCTATTATGATGTTATTGCCATGGAGCCAACTAATTACACCATCACAAAAGGGTAAATTAGTTAGTATATTAATAGTAATAGCTAAAAGAAAGTACAATAGCAACTTGTTATATCGTGCATGTTGGAATACAAATTAAATGACCAATATATTGGATGACATGACATTACCAATGTATTTATTTACCTGTTTTCTCTATTTTCGATTCCATGCTGACTTGCTTTTTTAGAGTTGTATTTTGTACAATGGTAGGTCAATGATTGGAATAAGATAATATTTTCTTGCCAGTAGAAATTCAATTGCAACCAATATTTTAAAAATTATTGAAAGCTAAAAAACTTTTTAGTTCTCACTGTTTTCAAAGCACTAGGATTGTATCCTTAGAAAAATCTGTACAAAATAGAACAAAATAGAATCTAATATGAAAAATTTTGAATTAAAAAATATCTTAACAATTTAGTTAAAACTAATAATACATTTTAGATAATAATACAAATTTAGATAAAACTAATACTTCTCTAATTAACAAGAACTAAAGTAGAATCCAAAACATAATAAATGTCTTTAGTTCTATGGAACTAAAATATTAATTTCAGTCTCTTCCTGCCCTGTGAACTAAGAAGGCCTTTTTTCTATATCCATTGTGGGTTTTGTCATGCCCACAGTGGGACAGCAGGTATTGCAGGACAGTTTGACTTGTGGGATTCACAAAGATCCATAGGAGGATAATTGCAGGAATGTAGGAGTGTGATTACCACAGACAATGGGAGACAATGAAAAAACACATAAAAGTAAGTTTATATACAAAATATATACACAAATTTCACAAGTAGGCTACATGTGTTGGTTTACACTAAGGTCCTTCCAACAATTCAACACCTGGATTCGATCTTACACACATGCAGTTCCTGAGAAGACTGAGGTGACCAGTGCACCAACCAGAGAGATCAAGTTGCCAGTCTGCACACCTTAAATATCCTCATGCCATTCCTGCAATGCTGCCATACAATACTAGCTAAAACAAGAAATAAAAAAAAATAATGAAATTTTGACAATGTATATCCCAAAAACCAACAGTTACTGCTGAAACGGCACTCTCTCCTAGAATAGTAAGCTGATGCCTTAACTGCCTTGGCCATTTAGTCATTTACTTATTAAACTTCCCTGAAATTTAGTTCTTAGATATATATTACTTAAAAATTTTATAATGTATTTTTACTTTTTTTTCTCCTTATATCTTGTTAGTAATCAGATTCAAATGCACAAAGTAGAAATGATGCAATACTGAATTCTGTCAGTACAATCTGATACTGATAATTTTCTGGTTGATTTGATTGAATTCTTGCCTCTGTCCTTACTCTACAGGTGTTGGCAATAAATGGAATCCTGAATGCTGATTCGTTTAGAGAATTTTTGCTTTATACTCTAACCACTTAAATTCAAATATAAAACAATAAAAGTTTACAAATTGATTTACAAATTGATCCTTTCAGATTGGACCTTAGGGAATTGTAATTATCTACTTTGTTTATGTCTGACTCTGGCCCTGTTGAGGAATAAGCTGAAACGCACCTTAAATAATAGTAAAAAATATGTAGAAGAATTAAAATATAGTCACTTTTTATCATATCCTGTCACCAGTAAAAACAGTCTTTCACTGCAGAGACAACTTTTATTAGAGGCTACATCTCTGCAAAAACATGCAAAGCAGTTTAAAAAGTTTACTGGTGACAAGCCAATAATTAAAAATATAGTTTCAATTAAAAATGGTTGACAATACAGTAGAGCGTCGATTATCCGAAAGTCAATCATCCGAAAGAATTCCAGTCAGCAAATTTAAATTTTCGCCAGTGCTATGGCGTTGCAATCTTTGGCTATGTCTTGGGCTACTCAAATATTTTACGTTTTTGATACTAAATTAACTTCTGAAGTATAATTTTTTATTGTTTTTATATTTTTCAATANTTAAAAATTCATTGTTTCTTTATACTAAAAAAACAAAAAGAGTAAAAATTAAGATATATTTACAAAATGTTTAAAATTAATGTGATGAAAATAGTTAATACTTTGACCTAATTTGTTTCAGAATAGTTGTGAATTTATATATGTAATTTAATATTCTACAGTAATTACAAATGTATTCAAATTTAATACAGGATAAAATTAAAATTATAAAGTGGTACTAAGCATATTTAACGTTACTCTTTTAAATCATAGTTTTCAATTTGAATTTAAAATTCTGAGATAACTGGATTTTTTTATAGTATATTTAAAATGTCAACCCAATTGTCTGATTTGTCTACAATAATAGCGAGGTTGAGGCTGAAGTTTTAAACGTGAAAACATGTATGTCAGGTGTTCAGCGCCGCTTTCCTGTAAGCCTAGAAATTTGACAGTGGTGTTTGAATAGTTAGTGGAATCTTGCTCAACATTCAGTTTCAACCTTGCTAATTACTATACTATGCTAAATTCTTTTTTAATATCAATACATTTTGAATATAGATGTTGAATATATTTTATTTATTTTTATTACAAGGTTTTTCACCCTTTGTTTAGGTAATAAAATACTAGAAATACATTAAATGAACAAACAATATACAAAATTCAAATAATTAAACAAACAATATATGAAATTCAAATAATTATTAATAAATATGCAATAACCACTGATCAAACTATAATGACCTGGTACCATAATAATATAGATAGATTTTTTTAAGTACTTTTTTTTTATAAAAACAAACAAAAAAAAATAAAAATTACACCTGTCTGATAAAAATACAAAAAAATAAGTGTTATGCAAAAAAGATAAGCAACAGATAAACACCAAGATTAAATCCTTGATTTGTGATATAACAACTTATTAAACTTTATTGGTTATACATCATTTTANTCAATATATTTATTTTGTTCGTACAAAATAAAAAAATAATTTTTAACGATACAATAGTCTTCGTTAGGCTTAACATCGACGAAAATTCAACGCGAAGCGACACGCAACGGAGAAAAATGTCAAGATGGGATAAATTAATATATTTTTTCATACATAATCGGTTATCCAAAACATCGATTTTCCGAACAACCCCAGTTCCCAATTGATTTGGATAATCGATGCTCTACTGTATTTACAACAGTAAAAAATACATAATAAAGACATTTTAGTTTAATTTAAAATGGCAGATGGTATATTTACAATTTAAAGAAAATACAGAAGATACAAAAATGTCTTTATTTCCACCTTTTCCAACCACCAGAAACTAGCAAACAGTCTTCCTTTGGAGAGATGATCTTTTATTTTTGGCTATGACTCTGGAGTAGGAAGACTGTTTGTTAGTTCCTGGTGGTTGGAAAGGGCAGAAGTGAAGACATTTTTCTATCTAATATATTTTCTTTATACATTTTTGTTTCTTTGTGTATTTTTTACTTTGTAAAAATATTGTCAGCCATTTTTAATTGAATTTTTAATAAACCTTAAATAAATTTATACAAGCATAGAAAAATTGTCAGATTGAAACACTTGTTACCAAATTTCCAATTGGCTTGAAGTATTTCCAGATCTACAAATACTGCCCACACGTTTCTTGTCCATCACTAAAAATGCATCTGGTCTTCCACAAAGCATCCTATTTGTGATTGATTTAACTTTTTTCAATTATAAATGCAATCTGTAACTTTTACTGAACACATTTCTTTAGATTTTCTGTATTAAGATTAAATACAAATTATACAAAAACATTTTTAGCATTATTTATCATGAGTTATTCTAGCAATGTTGTAACTACAGTATTTTAACTCATTTTTCATCTTTATCTAGATGTATTCTTTTATTAAATGCTTAAAAAGTATTTAGTAATAATGAAAGGACTCTCATAAATTTGTATTGAACTTAGATACTGTTTACTGAGAACCTGGTTTTGGAGTGAAATATTTATATTTCATGTTAAAACTAAAGTAAGAAATTTAATACAGTGATTCCTGATGTTTTTTAGTTGGTGAACATCTTTTGAAGTTAGAAAAATTTTTTTGAATTCTTTAAGAAAGGACATCATCGCATCTGAGAATCTTAGAAATTGAAATCTCCAAAATATTAAATACAGTAAGACTCTGCTTATTGCAGAGGATACATTCCTAGATGACAAAGTGCTAAATGAATTGGCGTTAAATGAGGTCATTTTAACACAGAGTAAATAGGGAAAGGGGAACACTTGACCAAAAATAAACAGATTTTACTTTAAGTTATTTTTGTTTTTTGTGATAAATGTAGTTTCATTTGTTCTTTCCTTAAGCAAATGTCGATAGCAAGAGATCGCGTCCAAAATGTCTTGTCTTGCTTTTGCACTCCTTTCAAAATCTGGATCATTCACTACAATTTGATCAACGATTTCAGTTATCGTTACCAAACTTTTACTAAGGAAATCTGTAGAGAAATTCTTTGGGTTCTTTGTTTTCAGAATCACTATTTTCCTGTTCTATATGAATTCCTTGTTCTGCCAGTTCTTGAAGATCGTCGTTGGTAAGGCTCTCATCAGAAACCTGCAGTAACTCCTCAATATCCTTCTCATCTACATCTCCTAGTCTTGCTGCATTGATTAGGTTGACAATTTGGTCAATAATAGGCTCTTCTCATGAGAATCCTTGGATACCACCAGCCATATCTTCTTCCACACACTGTTTATCAGTTAATTCTTATCAAGCAAAGTCATTTATCAGTTAATTCTTGTCAAGCAAAGTCAATATTGCCAATGGCATCTGTGATGTTATATTTCTTCCAAAATTGCACCAAACAAACATAAATTTAAGGAGAGTACAGTGCTACAATGAATTGCCATCTTTTGCTGATTGGTTCATGTTCGGGAATAATTGTATTATATACAAATTAATGAAATGCCATGATAATTTGAATCGGCTTAAATTTTGAGCTTTTTTATTTTTAGGCTTCAAGCAGCATTAATTGAGGAAATACTAAACAAGGACTTGCTGTATTTTACTTATATTTTATCCTCTGCTATGTTTGTATGTAGCTAGTATACATTTTTATTATATTTTGTTATAATTACAATTAAATCAGTTTATAGTAAATGTAGTAAATATGAACAATTATCTAAACAAATCTTGAATTTTTTTGTGGCTTCTTGTCTATGACATTATAGACCACAAGTTAGGAATCATTACTCGTCATTAGTGCATAATATATTTCAAATATTTTACACATTTTAATTTGTAAATACAATAAAAAAAGAAATTTAATGGTTATTAATATATTAAAATTAAAATATATAAATGAATTAAACAATAAAAATTTTAAAGAAATAAATTGCTTCTAATTTTAGGAAATCAACTTTTATTAATTAAAAATTAATTTATAAAAGTTTGTTTCTTGAAATTAACTGCAGTTTATATATTTACAAAGATGGTGCTAAGTTTTATAACCTGTTACGTTAAAAATTTTGAAAAAATCTTAAACAACATATTAAATGTAGGTTTTTTTTTCTGTTTATAATATTTAACTTTTAATTTTTATTTTTTCATTTCAGGAATCTATGAGATGCAAATATTCAATATGAACAGTCATGCTGCTATTTGGACCAATCGTTTGAAAGCTGCTATTGAATTAAAAACTTCTTTTGTAGAAGAACATAAATCTGTCTTGATTGGTGCTTTTTTGACAATCTTTGGATATCATAATACTGGTAAATTTATTGTATTACAGCTGAACCATGTTTATATGTTTCTCAGTTGTATGATTTTTGTAAATAATAAATAACATAAATCTGTTTCTGACAGTTTCCTGTTTAGCAAATTGCTTCACCAATCTAACACATTAAAAATTTTTACTTTCGATGTTTTGTAGTAAGAATCAATTTCACTATGCATATAAAAATTGCTTTCCAGTTTTTTCATTCATTTTCACTATTCACTGTCAGTGTGAGATAATCTTTAGGATGACTTTATTCTTTCGTGTGACCAGAATTTCGGCAGGAGGCGACAACGGATGTCACATAACAGACTGACAAGTCCATTAAAAACAAAAAAATAAACAAAACTTGATAAACTTTTTAAAAATACATGACTTAATTTCACACTGTTTTACTTTTCATTTTATATATTGTTTAAATGTATTATACATATAGTATAAATAAATATAATAATATAATAAATTGAATATAATAAATATAATAAATTGAAAATTCTTTGTTGAGAAAATTCAGTTTTTCAGTGTTAATTTGAGACATGCCTTGCTTTTGTAATGACTATATTCACTCTAAAAGTAATTCAAAAATAATTTCATTTGTATATTACCTCACTTGTAAGATATATTTGTTAGTTTCCTTGAAAAACATATAAACAAGATTTGACTGTAATTAGTATTTAAAATTAATGTTAAATAACTATATAGTACTTTAAACAATTGATTTACAAGTTTTGATAATTACATATTATAAATAAATTAATGTAAAATAAATATTTAATGAATTGTCAATATTTTAAATTATATGTTATATGACAAATATTTCATTTATTTGATATTCAAATTTCAATTAATTGAAGATTTTGAATGATTTAATTTAATCTCTATAATGATATAATAACTTGATATTTATTTTATATTTTAATAAAATTATTTCTTTTTAGAAAAACAATCGAATGAAAAATGATTATAACTTTTAAATATATTAGTTGTAAAATTTTATTATTTAATATACAAAGTTTAAATTTTTTCTATGAAATTCGTTTATTATAGTTTTATTGAGTATATTAATTGTAAAAAATTTAAGATAAGAGGATTTTATATACAGGTATACCTTGGGTTACGTCATTTCGAGTTAAGTCATTCTCAATTATACGCCGTTTGTCAAAAAAAATACATGAAAAAATAAAAATCAAGTTTAAGTCATTTTATTCGACTTTACGTCTGTCCGCCACAAATATTTAAGTTGTAATATCACTAGAAAAGCATTAAAAGTGCATAAAATCATATTAAAATATGTAAATTTACAGTAAATGTTAATATAATTGTCATAAATCCTAGAGAATGAAATATAAAAGCATCTGTGACTCCGTGGTGTCTTATTTAGCGGTCTTTAAGAGCTCAATATTGACATTTTCCATGGTAGTTCCAATATCTACCGTTTGGCGTTGTTGTCAGTGCCACTCGATATTGGTAAATTTAACATAAATTTGTTTATTTTCTACTATTGCAAAATAATTTTAATAACTGTATTTGTTATTTAACCTTACAAAATCATCATATTTTATAATGTCTTAGAGCAAACCACATTCACAAGTAAAGAGTCTGCAATGTACTGTAAACATCGCCAAATTGTAAACATATACATTTACAAGTATGTACATACATGTATTCGTAAATTTAGATTTTTTTTTCTGTACTATATTAAAAACTAAAATTTATTTGTTTGTAAGCTTAAAATAGATTCTTATTAACCATATATTATTAAAAATGCACTTATAAATACAATATGAAACTAGGAATGGTTATTTGTGGTTTAGCCTAGCGACAAATAAATTTGACTTAAGTTGCCTCTCCTGGAGCCAATTACTGATGTAAGGTGAGGTATATCTGTATAATCTTCTTTTTGACTATTACACAGTTATTGTGTTTTTGATTTCTATTGGAAAATTTGGCTGACTTCTCTGATTAACAATTTCATTACTCTCTGAAAGAGAGTAATCAACTAATTGTAGGTGAATGACCCAAACAAGTATTCTTCTCTGACCTGTTGAACAAATTCCACAAATATTTCATGACAGCAAGTGAACCAAAGTATATCACAGAATGAAAATGTTTATTAACTTTCTAAGGATACATTAATTGTCTGTATTGTAAAATCAAAAACCAGATAAAAAGTACTACTTTTACATCTATAATTCCTTTTTTAATAAAATATAAAATTCATCTGGATACGAGTCCAAGTTTACTTGCCATGTCTAATCACCAGGAACAACTATTTCCATTGCAGAGACAACCTTTCTTTAGAGGCTATGCCTCTGCACGAATATGTAAAACAGTTTAAAATGTCCACAGGTGACAATCCCAACACAATTAAAAATATAATATTTGTTTGTAGAAATGGGCTGGCA